AGAGAGAGAGAGATGGAAAGCCCTTGCTTAACATATAAGACTACAAATGTAACATGGGATATGAACATTATCTAAAACAAGAGGTTGGTGCATCAATTACTGATGTCCTCCAGATGATCATGAATCATTGACCCACGCAATGGCAAAGAATTCATGATAGTAAATATATCTCTGTTATCTAAGCATGCTATGCTCTCTGTCGAGTAACCACAAACCCACAGAGATGCTTTATAGAGAAATTTATTGACACCAACTACAATGAGAAAACATCAAAATCTGAGATAATCAGCTAAAATTTAGCACATGGAGAACTTAGAAAAGAAAAATACATGAATAGTACATATAGCAAGACTTGACTAAAAACAAGTAGCAAAAGTGATTATGCAATATGTTTTGGAAAAGTGCAATAGCTGATTTGAACTCATGTGCAATCTGAAGGCAGTCATATTAATTATAACAAGACTAGAGATAAAAGAAGTAACATTCATATTTTTGGAAAACATATTACTAATTGAGCTTTTTCTTTTGCTATGTTAAATGTTGATAGTCCAACCTGATAGGTCAAGCCAGTAATGTAAGGATTAATCTGAACCCCTACACTCATTCACTCTACCAACTTCTTTTATACCGACTGGAAGGAGAGAGCGTAGCGAACGGTGGACAAGCAAAGCCTTTAAACTGAGTGTGCAGTTAGCATAGCGAACGGAGTAAGTGAACGCAGTGAATGACTGAAGGACTAGTAGTTTTCTGGGGTGGGGAAATAACATAGACATGGTCTGGGTAGGTTATATATATATATGCGCGCGCACACACACACTGTACCAACTTCTTTTATAGATGTGCATATATGGGAAATGTATATATACACTCTAATAATGCACTCATGATAATAAATCATTAACTAAAGGTGGACTCAGTTATGGTCAACCATAGTGTAAAATTCTGGGTAGTCTTAGATATATATATATGCACACACACACACACTGTGCCAACTTCTTTTATAGATGTATATATGGGAATGTATATATATACTCTAATAGTGCACTCATGATAATAAATCATTAACTAAAGGTGGACTCAGTTATGGTCAACCATGGTGTAAAATTATAGTATGAGAAAGGATACCGTAATCCAACAAATTGTGGCATAATCCATTGAGGTAACCAGTATCCCATAAAACATGGATAGTGAAGGAGAGAGAGATACCCACCAAACGATTACATAGCATCAATGGTGGGTTCCACTCACTCTCCATCACCATCCATCATTTCATTGGATAAAGATGAAACTCACTCTCCATCACCATCCATCATTTCATTGGATAAAGATGACCCCAAATGACTGAGTATACCATATGCATCATGGTATACTATACCTTTCAAGTAATGATCAGAGCAAACAAATTCCGGTAAATCACAGTTGCATTTACCTCTGAACGCCTTGTGCTCTTTTCTGTGCAATACGTCCCTTGGGAGCTGAGTCCAACTGTCAAAATCCAATATGAATGAAATCTAAGTGCTTTGTAAACATATGCATAATTCATAAATGCATTTGCTGAAAATAGGCCCACAAGTGAAATAACGTTCCGAGTACTAACCTGAGAAGCAATATCAACACCTATTTCATCAAGAACCTGCAAATCAAAAGAATGGAGTCAGAGAAAAGGGCCGAATTGGAATTGCATAATAATTGCACATGTTTTGCAAAGAAGCTAGCCTTACTTTCCTTCATTTTTCTTTGTTTTGGGATATTCAATAAATTTGGATTACTTATAATACGCGAGCTCCAGTCATAGATGAAATAGAGAGAAAAATACCTGGTTTGTGAGCTCCTCAGTTTCTTCCTCGGCTTCATCTTTGTCTAATGCATCATCGATAGCATCTGACATCATTTCGCTCTGCTTGGACAAGATGCAGATTGTTAGTTGATAACTTTGTTTTCAATTGCATCAGTTTCTTTGATGAGTGAGTATAAGGCAGACAAGTTTTTTCAGCAACCAAGTTTGAGGAATATAAATAAGAATATGATAGGAGAGTCACATTAGAATTCAAAGAAAAAGAGGATAAGAATAATCATTCGCACACTTAAATAGATTTGGAGAGTACCATTTACATTGAAAAGTACACTACAACAGAAAGCATAATTGAGAACTTTATTGATACTGGTGATGTACAAATATGGTGAAGAATTTAGCCAAATATGATTGCAATTCCCTAGTCCTAGGAACCCAGACATGCATCTGTGATTAAGGCAAAGAAAGATTAGAGCACCTACTGTCAATTGCTATGATGAAACTCAGCCCTTCCCCCCCCCTCCTCCTTTCTTTCTCTTTTTATTTTTATTTTTATTTTTTTAGGTTATTTTATGTTAGAACTCATGTGGAGAAGAACGTGCAAAAGTCTCAAATGATGTGAAGAGAACTAACCTTACAATCATTTGCAAACAAATTACAAGAATCATCAAATACACAAACATTAAATTTGCAAACAAATACAAGAATCATCAAATGCACAAACATTTCTCTCTTTGGTTTATGCTAACCACAAAGTAATAATAAACCCAGTCTTATATTAGAAGAACATACTGCATAAGGGTTCTCTATAATTCAAATTGCATTTTGAATATCTTTCAAACCTCTAAGAAGGCTATTTTCCAGGCATTTTTCATGATGTTGCTATTTTCAGCCTCAAATCTTAGTCTAAAGTATAGTCACAAAAATAGTGAAGAATTTTTGGATTAATTAGGGTGTTTTGGAACTTATTAATTACATCAGGTAGGGTCTATGTTGCTTACTTGGGTCTCAAGAAAATTTTAGGGTCCTATTTGCTTATAACAGATTGTTATGAAGCCATGGTAGAGGAGATTGAATTATTAACTAGTGTTGGAACTCTTGAGCGCTAGAGCTATGTACTCCTTAATGGTTGACTCAGTCTCCTCCTTTTGAGAATTTCTCGCTCTACCTGTTTCTGCACTGAAAAGTTTGAATAAAAATTATCTTCCCTTGCTCTAATAGGTGAGCAAGTGGAGGTATAATAAGAATTTGTGGGAGATTGTGTAATCTAGGAAATATTCTTGACTAGGTTGGTTTTATTCATTGGTACATGGTGGCTATCTACACAGACTAAGGATGACTTCTTCTTAGCCAGCCATCAGTATGGGTCCTAACTTCTCTGAAATTCCAAATTTCATAAATTATATGAGTTGCATAATTGATGCAGAATCTATTTTCAAATAACTTCATCCACCATGATATCGAGTGGAGAGTTTTGGTATAGTGGCCTCACTACAGAGCTGGACAACGCATTGGAGACTTTTCAACAAGAAAATAGCATGGGATATAGGTCTAAGTGTTTCCTGCCAACTTGTGCACATGATAAGATATAAACCTCGGACCCAGCTCAGGGTTCACCATCATCCCAACCAAGTCAATCCCATAAGAGTCTCCACAAATCCTTAAGAGACTTTCCAACAAGGAAGAAGCATGCGATAGGTAGAGTCAGTATTGCCTTTCAACATGTGCACATGGTAAAGTTGAAATATTGGACTCAGCTCAGGATTTGACATAGTACCAGGTGAAGTCGATACTGTAGAGGTCTTTGTCCTTCATAAAAAATTAAAGAACAAAGGAAGACTGGGCAAGAGTTGATATGGTTCCGAGCCAGGTCAAGTAGATCAAATTTTACGACAATAACAAGTAGAGGCTGGAGTACCATTAACTCAAGGCTAAGGATTCAATTGGGAGCAGTATTGCTTTCAGGAGTAATGGACTAGCAGAGCTTGACTGTGCACCATCGCGTAGTTAAAAAAAGGGTTGCCTAGCCTTCTCAAATAAATGTGAAATGCCACTTGATAGGTGGCATTTTGGATTATAGCCAGAATGAGAATGTGCATCGCAAACCACCCAGCACGGACTGCAAATACTATGTCATGCCCTACACTCCAGAATCCATTCTAGAAGTGTTCCTGAATGCAGCTTTAAACAATTAAACCTCTTGTACCCTTTTGCAGCTTTTGAGTTTCCCCAGGCATAATGCCTGCTGTTTGTATACTTGTGTGCATATCTATCAATAATGAGCTGGATCGTAGGGAAAACTAAAGGAATTTCAGGCATGAAAACTATGTTAGATAACAAGAACATGTGCATTCCACTAGTATGGAGGAACATAATCTTTTTAAAAGTTAGACGTAACATGTCAAAAGCACATTGATGAAACACAAAGAGATTGTGAGATAAATTTACAGTGATTATGTGTTTTGATTCTTTCTGAGAAAGATTAGGAAATAATCTAAAAGGTTATAGTGTTTACAAGACCTTCTAAATGCTAAAAGGTCACATTGCATTGAGGAATAGATATAATTACTATGATAGGTGCGATTTAGGTATATCTAGAGGAAAAAGGGAAGCATAAGATGTGGAGGCAGAGAACATTACCATCATCCAAGCCTTATCCCCACTATTTGGGGTTGTATACATTTCTGCTATTCTGCCCTATCAAGGGTCATACCTTCAGTCAGACTATAAGACATTATATCTCTTCTCACTACTTACGTCTATGTCCGTTTGGGCCTTCCCCTCGCCCTTTTAGAGCCTTCCACTTGAGCCAAATCACCCATTCTAACTGGTGTTCTACTAGGCCTACGCCGCATATGGCCAACCCACCTGAGTCTACTCTATATCATTTCATCACCTTTGGAGCCACCCCTAAGTTGTCACAAATGTATGCATTCCGAATTCTATCTTTTCTTGTATTTCCACTAATCCATCTCAACATCCTCATCTCAGCTACACTAATACTATAAATACGTTGTTTCTTAAACGCCCAACATTTCATTCCATAAAGTATGGCTCATCTTACAATTGTCCCATAAAACTCCCTTTTAGTTTCATTGGAGCATGGCTCATCTTACAATCTTTTCAGGATTCATAAAAAGATGTGACAAAGTTTTACACTGGAAAAAGGACAAAGGAATTTTCATTAATTTCAACCCACAAGAGAACCTCAATATATAGCTTTCTCTATTAAAAAGGATGCAGGTATGACTGCAAATGCCAAAAACTTGCCACAATTAAATATATTGTTCGAAAGGCCTTAGTCAATCTTTTAAGCCAATTTTTTTTTTTTTTAATAGTCTGAACGTGAAAATATTGTGATCAATAATACTTCTAACCAAATAAATAGATTACCCAAGAGACCAAAAAAGCTAACTGTTTGGAGAGACACTCCCTTGATGATAAATTTCTAATTGCTGGACAATTTCTATTGTATCGGGAAATCATTTCTAGACCATCTAGAAAGGACTGGAGATGTCACAAGTAAATCATTTCTAGACCATCTAGAGGTGAATAACAAGCATAAATTTTTTTGCAGAAAGCTAAAACAAAAAATTCATATTAAAAAATTACCGTCATGTCCATTTGAGCTGATTGTCTCTGAAATTCTTGCAAAACTTTTGCTTGCTTTGCAGGAGCCATTTGCTGAAAAACAAAATAAACCAATTAACAAACTTTTTCAAACTCGAGAGTGGTCATGTTAATAAATGCAAACAATTGCCCTGAAGCAAGCCACAACTGCTTTGCAATTAAGAAGATAATTTTAAAAATTTAAAATGCCATTCAGGTAAAATTCAAATGTGACGATATCATAGAAGGGGTGATTTACTTTATTCATTGCTGCCATTGCTTTACTAGCACCTTTCATTCCAGCAGCTACTGAAGTATTGGCATACATTGCCTGCAAATGGGAAAAGAGAAAAGAAAAGTTTCTGAGCAAGGAATTAAATATGTTCAAACAAAATGCCTCAAGAAAGAGAAATAAAGGATTATTCAAACCTGTGTGTGGGTTGCGACACCTTTGATTTGTGCACGGCTTCCTTGCAAATTAGCAATTTGTTGCCTTAGCCTAACAAGTTGGCGAGCCAAGATTTTTGTGGCAGCCTGGAGAATGCAATGCAGAAAAAGTTAACTCAATTTATGGCCCAGCAAATCAGCAACTTGTGGATACAACCAAGTTTTAAAATTTCAAATTGTCAAACAGATTTGGCCAGTGCCAAGAAAAAAAAAATTGGATGTCACTCCCAACATCAGTTGAAATTCAATCTTTGAAAAGACGAATGTTTTATTTGAATAAAACCACAAGAAATCCCAAATCCGGTCTGATTTTTTTTAGAAATAATGCATTCAAGCTTCCAGAAAGGTTACTTTTAGAAAAATGAAAAACTTTAAACATCCAAGCCCCCAGCTAGAATTCATAGTTCAGACAAAACTACCAGCATATGGATTCACAATTAAGGGGAATGTACACACTTTAAGATACAAAGGGATAGCATCTCGATGCAGCATAAGGGGAATTACATTAGTATGGAAAAAGCAAGCCCATCGAGGTATCACCTTCCAATGAAATGAGTGTGGTGAGGGAGAAAGAGAGGCAACCACCACTGGAATTAAGTCCAGTTCCAGTGAACTCTACCTTTCTCTCCATCATCACCAGTCGTTCCATTGCATGCCATCCATTAAATCATAGCATACATATGCAGTTAGTACCATTTTGTTTTAAGCCACCCACATCTAGTTGATATGGATATTGGGCAAGACCCATAAGCCATTCTTGTTGCCAACATCCAAAATTGAATGTTGCCCAAAAGTGCACTCATGTTTTAATACATGACACCAACCAAGTAAAGTAAGATATTTTACATCCTTGTCTGTCCAGTCAAGAAAAGAATTGAGTTGCACCATGAACAAAGTTTATAGCTCAAGCCTTCTTTTTTTTTGAAATAAAGTTGCCAGTAGAACCACTTAATTGCCTTACCTCATTCCCTGTTTTTGCTGTCTTCTTAATCTCCGCAACAAGTTTTTTCTCCTGTCATCAATCCACATTGTAAAAAACACTACAGGGAAAATTAATGGTGCTTTGTGCCTAATAAATAACCAAAATCTCAGCTGTAAGCCATGACTGACCTCTAATTGCAAGGCTGCTATCTCTCTTTCGATTCCTGGAGCATCCGAGATATTAAATGAGTATTCCATCACAAATATAAGTAGTCAACTAATTTCCATAATTAGAAATCAAATCTCATTAAGGGGCCATTTGGATCCCTGGAAAAATATTTGTAGAATAGATCTCCAGGGAGATTGTTCATTTCTGCTGTTTGGATACAAAATTTGAGGCAGATATTATTTTCTGGAAGAAATAGGGTTCTCGACTTTAAATCTTAAACTAAAGAAATTTGTATCCATGCCCCTCCAATAAAAAATCAACTTCCTTCCACTTTTCCAGTTACGGAACTGAAACAAATATTAAACCGAGCTTAATGAGGTCCCCCCCCTGTTCAGTGTTCTCTCTCTCTCCTCTCTCTCTCTCTCTCTCTCTCTCTACTACTACTACTACTACCGTACCGTACCGTACCGTACCGTACCGTACCGTACCGTACCCGTACCCGTACCCGTACCCGTTACCCGTTACCCGT